TACGAAGCGGTTTGATCCCCGAAAGAGGTACGTAGGCAGCCTATCTTCGGATGGCGCAACTGCTCCCCCTCATAAAATGGAGAAAGGGGGGGGGGGGGGGGGGGACTTCATATACCTTTACCTTTTCGAGCTTTTTGAGTTTCTAAGTCTTTACTTTCTTCTTTATTCAATGAAGAATCATAATTTTTCCTCAGCTTTTACCATCAATTTCACATCGGCATCCTGGCCAGATGCTCGATTCGCCTAAAGCTAAAGTCTGATCCACTTTAGTTCGGCAACCTAAAAGCCAAGTCCATCTTACATAATACAGTTTAACCTGTTTTAGTCGATCCGGGTCATGCGTAATTATCATCCAAGTCAGTCTTGCATCCACATTCGACTCGGATGCATCTAAGTGGTACCGATGAAATAACGCTGACCTGAATCACACATCGATTATTCACACTTAGAAGATAAGTGGTACGAACAAATAAAAGCCGGGCCTCCCGCACATTTTTATTCACACTTTTCTACAAAGCCAGAACCCGCTCTGCAATTCTTAAGTCAAGCAATATTATTAAGCCGATCTGTTCGCACCTTGCATTCAACTTGGAAAAATTTTTAAGTATCGAATATATGCTGATCTCACTCACTTATTCTTTTCATACTTAGAAATTTAATCGCATAAACAATTAAAGCTAATATCGCATCCCAGTTTATGTTATAAATTTCCGATAAAATACATCCTTTCATTAATAAAATACCAAAACATCGGACAAAATACATCACAATCTACAATACAAAATACTTGATTTAAAAAAAGTATGAATACAAAAAAAAAGAAGGAAGTAATTCCTCGGCCTCAGCCTCTTCATGGATCTTGCCTTCTTCCTGCTCGGCCTCTTGGCTGTTAGGCTGATCGGTATCTTGACCATCTACCTTGTCAACCTCTTGCTCTTCTTCCTGCTCTGCTCTTTCAAGAGACTTAGAATTTTTGGGCTCTTGTTTCCCGGGCTCACTTGCGACTTCTAAGAAAAATTCTGAAGAACGGATATAAAGCTCGTCGGCCGAAAATCTGACTTCCTCAAAGGCCTCCAACTCGGCCTTACTTTCGGCAATCTTCTCTGCTATATTCTCGTCAATTAGGACCGCGAAATCGTAACCCTATTTTCGGACAATGTTAAGGGCCCTCTGCGCTCCGACCCACTGAGCTGCGGTCGAGACCAACTCCATGGCTTTCTCTTTACTGCTGAGAGATTCCTTAACCTTCTCGATCAGCTTGGCGTAATGGCCATTCGCCTGACCGAAAGCTATCCTCTCTACCTTAGCTGCCCTCATCTCGGTCTCAAGCTTCTTCTCGACGGCGGCTCTTTCCTTGGTAATTTGCCTGACCGCTTGGCCTAGAAGCTTGTGCTTGTCAACGTTATCAGCATGAACTTTCGCAAGTTCTTCCGCTGACCCTCGAAGATCGATTTCCAGCATGGCGCTCTTCTTTTTCTCGACCTCAAGGGCATCCTTGATAGCTTCTCTCTCAGTCTGATCGTCCAAGCTTTTCTTTACATCACGATCATAATCGTGCATCACGGTCAATGCCATACTTAGAGCCTGCGAATAGACAGTTTCACCATCAAAATCACGTACATATACGAGAACGAAGGCAGAGACAAACAATAAAGATTACACCTTAGCCTGATCAACCGCGTAACGAGCAATCATATCACTACGAGTAAATCTGTAGGGATCCGTCGGTGGACCAGCCGTTTTATTCCTTAGACGAAGGAAGTAGTCGAGGCACAACACTAAGTCGTACACTATCGGGCTGTCTCCGCGGTACTCGTACGAAAAACCAAACGGGCGGAGACTCCGTTCAGTCCGAGATCTCTTCCATATCTCTAAGTCTTCGGACAACTCCCTGGGCCCTATTTTCCTTGAGTTAGCAGGGTCGCCTTCCCCGCTACTACCGTCATTTTCGACCTCTTGGTATTGATCGTCCTTACTCTGAGCCATTTATGCCCTTTTTGCAGCCCTCTTATCGCTGAATCCTTTTCAGCCTTCTTGTCGGCCGCCTTCTTGGCCTTGGCTGGATCACTTTCGGTGCAACCTCTCAACAATGCAAGGTTGCCACGTTTATCTGATAATGCCACTGGCACAGTATTTTCAGACTCCAGAGCGCTGGGTGATCCAAAGGCTGATTCCAGGTCGGTTGATAGGTCCTTGAACGAAAGTGATTTCGTCTTCTTTCGTCGGCGTGAATGTTGTTCAAGGGCAGCTGGAGAACAATCAAAGGAACGTTAACCGACTGAAAAATTAATAAATATCGGTTGGAAAAAAAAACTAAACCAACCTCTTGTTCGTGCAATCTTTTCCTCTGTAATCTCATGCCATGTGATCGCACTGATCGCTGAAAACTTCTCGGAGATATCGTAGATTTCAAGCGAGTCGTCTACGGTTAGGAGATGTCTGTTACCTTCATAAACAAAAATAAAACCGATTAGCAAAACAAGGAGATTATATAGACGTCCAACGAACTGTTCAGGTCGGGCATGTCTCTACCCATGACCTCCGCCCATTTCGTTCTAATTGGAATATCTTGGTCGGTGATAGAGAACTCGTTGATTAGCATGAAGAAGTATCGATCCCTCCAGTCTGCCACCTTCGATTTCTGACCACCAGTCACGATGTTGAACCGCGTCTTCATACTCATGTAATATGAACCCCAGTTCCTCAGTTTCGCCTTTGTACGTCTGGTGTTCGTCATTGCGTCGAATGCAGCCCTAGTCAGCGGGATATCGTGCTTGATTGACATCACTAGCATGCTGACGATCAGACATATCGTGGCATGAGTGAACTGGCAGATCGACATCTCTTTGCGATCGGCAAAATCCAGCAGTAGTCTCGGGAGAGGAAACCACAGGTGGAAATCCTTGAAGAAACACTCATAGAGGCACAACCATCCCTTCAGAGCATCCCTTGGCTGTTCTGATGGGCTCGAGACCATGAATATGACTTCGGGGCCGATATCGAACTCTTCCTTCAGTGTGACCAAGGACTCCATAGTCGACTTAGTCGGCTTAATTCCGAGCGCGTTATCACTGGTCGGCTTGACCACCTTCTCCCCCTTTTGCCTTTTAACTTTCTTCACTGGGGGATTTGTATCGATGATGTCGAACTGGTTGACTTCATCCTCCATGATGATGGCGTTCAGTTTGTCCGAGATATCCATCTCGTTTGATCCACCTCTATCATCGGCCTCGTCCCGCAGCTCATGGATCTTGAAATCTAGTCTGGAAGATGTCTCCCCAGATCGGCGAACAGACCCGATCTGGTTGGCATGAAATTTATCAGCCGCCGCCTGTTGATTCTTCACCCTTACACGCTCCTGGAATTCCCAATCCAGCGCAGAAAGATTGCTCGCATCCGAGGACCGATCTGACCTTGACTTTTCGACGACGACCTCCTTTTGGCCCCTTACGGCATGGTCGTCTCTGGACATCTGGAGAAACTCTCCCAGAGAAACGCTGATCTCATTAGCTTTTGCTTGAGACGGCCTGTTTCCCTTCAAATCTGATCGGCCTTCTCTGATCTTCAAAGTTTTGCTCATGACTGATGAGGTTTAGCGACGGCTTTGGGCAAATTGGAGAAATCAAATGGCGGAGTTCGAACGAAATGTGACAGAGGTTTGGTCGGAAAATCTAAAAAACAAAGAACAAAGAAGAGAGAGAAGAGAGAGAAGAGAGCAAACCTTTTGACAGAGATTCGCTAATATTCAGAAGTGATGATTTATGAGCCGAACCCCTCCTATTTATACAGAAATCTGGACGGTTATCAAAGGTTATCACGACTTCGGCGACTGTTCGCATTTCTTCTCATTTTATTTAAATCGGCATCTTCGCATTCTTCTTCTATCGTTTGACACGTGTCGAGCCTAGTTTTGCATGCGCATACCTAGCTTAGTATAATCTACTTTTGACGGGAACTTTTGCCGCCCAATTGAGATCTGATCATTGTCTCGTTGCCGATCTGGACTCAAGGTAAAATTGTGCTTTATATTCTAACTTATGCAGTGGCCGACCTCATTTCATGCTGAGCTACTCTTCTTAACATTCACCAAGTCTCGCACCCTCACTTGCCGAACTGGGGGGACTTACTGTTAGAGATGAGATTTGTACCATTTCTAAAAGTCTGACATAAATCCTGGTCGGCCCATTTTGGAAACCAAAAGGATATTCAGGTCGGTCAAATAAATGGAAGATTTCCATTTATCGGACTAAATCCAGAAAAGACGGAAGATTGGCCTTATCGGTAAGGAAGTTTTCCTATTTCGGATACGCGTAGTTATCTCCTGAAGATCGGCCTGATCGGCTATAAAGATAGGAAGTCTTCGACTTCTCAAGACATCCGAAAATTCTCTCGAGAGACCTAGGGCAAACTAAGCAACCTTGTTGTTCCTAGTTCTTGATTTTATTCCCATAAACAGTTTAAGTCGACGTTCTTTTTCTGACAACCTAAACCTCTGTGTATATCTCAAACTCCAGCTAAAATCTTAATAAAGATCTCTTTTTAAATCCACAAACTCTTATTATCTTATAAGTCGAATTTGAGTTATCACACGGTATCCCTAGATCTCAACCTTTACCAAATTATTGGTTTGGATATCATAGCAGAGAAAGTAAAAAGGAGAAACCAACTCTTTCGGTACCAAGATAACCTTACCTTAGAGTTTGACATCTTGTATATATATTATTACTGAGTAATTGCATCTGAGAAGGTTGCAAACCCCGAGTCTTCCTCAACCATTCCATCATCCTCCAATCTTCCACAACCCACAGATCCACCGTACCGGTCTCTTTGAAAAATGTGGTATCAAAAACAGCTACGTTTCCACAAAAGTTTATCAGAATCATCCTCCTAAGTCTATGTTGCTCATCTCTGGCCTTGAAAGGTACTTGCGTCATACTGAACTCTTCAGACCTGATGTCGAAACTCACAAGCACACAAGTATGACAATCAATCAGAGCCATTTAATATAAAACTCCGTTCATAGTGAGTTCTAGTTGTGAAGGAATATGAGGATGCAACTCCTTCGCAACCCGTTTCCACGAACCACCAGCTTCTAGAACAAAGACCCAACTCTCTGACCTTATCTTTTGCATTTGAACTGATATTACCGTAATTGTGCCGAGTAGTACGAACAAAAGTTGTCTGGTGGTGGGGTTATAGATCCGTGCCTTGTGATGGACTGTGAAGCTAATGAAGCCACGAAGAAGGCGCATGAAGTACCCTCCCATCTCGTTGATGGTCAAATTTTGGTCGAATACTAATGAAGACGGAGAAGTTGCTGGAGTGGATGATAGGAGAAGAGACTTAGAGTAGTCGTGCAAATCCAATAAAGACATGTAAAGACGAGGTTTACTGGGGGATTAGACCATAAGGAAACGGTTGCAAAAATATCTCGACGACAAGAGAGATGACCAAAACTTTGAGAGGCACTTCAATCTCGTCACGGATTTCACAGGCAGTCTCGTCAGAATCTCCATCAGGAGATCTTGAGGAATATCCCGTGCCACGCAAGATATCAAATCCTGCATCGCTCTTCGTTTTCTCAACCTCCTCTTCGTCCTCTCCTGTTGTGTGGCGTCTGCATGAAGACAAGACAAATCCATAGCGTCGCACTACAGCAATTTCCAATTCACCACTTCCATACTGAACTTGAACGGTAATGATTTTTAGTATTTGTTTTTTATCTACAATTATTTTTCTACATGTTGTTATGCTTATAATTTCTTTTTTCTATGTTTATATTTATTAAATTAAATATATAAAAAATTATTAATAAAAGATAATAAATCACAAAAGTTTAGAAAGTAATAATAAAAATGGACATAAGTTTATGTCATACAATTAGAATAAAACAAACTCAGTATTGCACATTATTGTAGAGATGCAACCTATGTGATTATTCGTCTGTTTTAGGTTGCTTCGGTAAAACTTTGGCGATCAGTATATGTTTGAGAAGCTACTGGAATAAGACGTGTTACGGCTGTTGTGGCAGATGAAGGAGACACATAAGTGTATCACTAATACAGATTATAAGATAGTGTGTAGTGCGTGAGACAAAGATATTGAGACAGTACGTGAATACTGATATTGAGGAAAGATTTGATATGAGCATTAATACAGTTATCGACATAGAACAAAGACGTTCTGACGATTAGAAGAATGTAGTTGTATAAATAAGAAAATGCATAAGACAATCTGTTAAAAGGGTGAGGGGGTATCAGACTGTACATCAAATGATGTATGAGACTTCAAGAGGTTAGGACTTGAGTCACTTGACGTTGATAAAAAAATGTAGGTGATCTCTTCATAAAAGTGTTTCCTATTATAACATCAAGAAACATGTTCATATGGCATGTACGAGATTTGTGAAAAGAAGATGAGATCTATCTTTTTCAGTGAGAGTTTGCTATTGATGTACTCTTTCTCTTTTTATCATGGTTTCTATCCAATTGAGTTTTTCTATATAATAGCACGCAACTTCACAGTGATGGATACTCACGCGACATTTCAAGAGGGAGCATTACTGCACTCTTTTTCCTGTCATAGTTTTTTTTCTTTTTTCTTTTTTTATCTTAAACGGGTTTTTCTATGATAATGTTTTTAACGAGACAATATGTAATATACCATTAGTGATGGATAAACAAGGGGGAATGTTAAATAGATAGTGATTATTCATTTACTTTTGTCTTTATACATTAGCATATTAAAGGATAATGTTTATCCATAATGTTTTGTCTTTATATGTTAGCATGTTAAATGGATAGTGTTTATCTATTTACTCTGTTTTTATAAAGTAGCTTACTTTACTATGAAATAATGTTTTTTTTAATAAATAAATGACTTCATTCTTTGTAAAATCATAAGTTCAGAAAAGAAAAAATTGTTATACTCATTTTTCTCTTTCTAAGTTCATATATCTTTACTTTTCATATTAAACATTAGTTCACAATATAAAAGAGTTAATAAAGAATACAAAACATATAAAAAGTGTTCTACAAATAAAACGTGTTCAAAATATAATTAAAATATATAAAGTGTGTTTAGACGTAAACATCTCCTTACAAAAATTATAACTTCATAAGATATTTCATTTCAGAAACTCATTCAACTATTCATACTTTCGAATTAAGAAAAGGGAGAATTGCTCTTTATAACCTAAAAATTGATTTTTTCTTAATATATAGACCTCTTAGTGAAATTACAGCTCAGTCCTTTGTGACTAAACAAAAAACATCTGTCACAGTTACGATTCTATCCTTTAGGAAGTCTACAATCATAGACTTCTAAAGAAGTCTATTTTTGTAGAGTATTAATGAAGTCTACATAAGAAGACTTTAAAAGAAGTCTACTACATAATTAGTTTTTTAAAAATTAATTAGAAAATATAAAATAAATAAATTTTTAAAAAATTGATAAACATAAGTAAGTGTTAGAGATGAGATTCGTACCGTCTCTAACAAGCCTGCTATGAATTATGGTCGCCCGTTTAACAAGTTTCAGGTCGGCGATATAAAAGGAAATCTTCCATTTATCGAGCGACCCGGGAAAAAAAGAAACTCTTTCTTATCGGCAAGGAGAGTTTCCTATTCTAAACGGGTTGAGACTGACCAAATCAAGATATAAATATATGAAGTCCTCGACTCCTCAAATCATCTAAAAATCATTGATCAAGACCTAGAGCAAACTAAGCAATCAGATTGTTCTAGCCTTTTGATTTACTTTCCTTAAGAGTTTAGGTCGGCGTTCTTATTCCGACGACCTAAACATTGTTGTATTCATTCAAACTCCGGCTTCTTCAAATAAAAGACTTCTCTTTAAACCCTCGAACCCTAGTTCTTTCATAGATCAAACTTGAGTTTTTACAGTTGGTGCCGTCTGAGGGGATTAGGAGAATAATCTTTGACTTAGAACGAAGTTCGAAGATGGTTGAAACACCAATCAACACTACCGATCTCACCGGAGGAGCCAAGAACCACTCAGAATCCGATCGTCGACCCAACCACCGGGCTTCCAGTGGTCCACCAGATCGATCAGGGGGATAACACAACTGCCACGCAGAACATCGGTGGCACAGATCAGGTCGGCTAGACGGGTAGCACAAACACGACCGGCCTGCCACAGCCACCTCCCATCGACATGGCCACGATCATCAGGTCGGTTGCAGCACAGATGCAGCGGGGGATGGATGCTCGCTTTGAATCCCTTCGTGCCTAGCAGATAGCTTACAGAGAAGGCTTGGATCGGCTTATCAACTCTAGGGTTCATACCCAAGAGCAGGCCGATCTTATCACCCCCCCTTGCCCTTCGATCCGCAACACAGATACGACCAGGCTGGTCAACAACCTGTTCTGCACAACACCGACGGACGACTTACGGAGAGCACATGCAGAAGGCTCCAACGCTCGCTCATCTCGCAATACCGCAGGAACCGACCCGACGACAACCTCGAAACTCGATCTTCTCCAACAACGCCTTGATGATATCCACAGCAAGATCCACAAGGCGACGATTTCAGTGCCCGATTTGGATAAGATCCTTTAGGAGACACAGCAAACCTCGTTCACGTCGGCTATCACAAATGATCCTCTTAAGGACATAGGTCAGATGAAGCTACCTCCGAGTTACTCTGGCACGACAGACCCGAAGCGACATCTGACCGCATTCAACGCAGTCATGGGACGTGCTCACTTCACCGACGAGGAACGAGAAGCATGCCTCTGTCAGTATTTCGTGGAGACGCTCTCTGGAAGCACCCTCACCTGGTTCTCGCAGCTTCCCAAGAACTCCATCGATAGCTTCAAGGAGCTCACAGCTCGGTTCCTGAAGCATTATTCGATTTACATCGACATGGATTCCACAACGCTCGATCTATGGGCATGCGTCCAGGGCGACAAAGAGCCGCTGCACGATTTTATCGATCGATTCCTATCAATCGTCTCCCGGTGCAGTCTGTCGGACGAACTGTGTTTCAATATTCTTATCAAGAATTTGAGGGATGATTCTTCGTATTGTGAGCGATTGAAGACAGGAAAAAGCAAAACACTCGAAGATGTTTTGCATAAGGCATCCGGCTACATTAGAGTCGAGGAGGATCGGGCAGCCAAGGCCAATGCCAAGTTGGCCGATGAGAAATCTTCACGCGACAAGAAAGGCAGATCGTCGAGTCAGGACGATTACAAAGAGCCCCGTCAGCACTACGACAAGGATGACAAGAATCGCAAGAGCATCAATGCAGTTGGACGACCAAAAAAGCCATGGAACGTGTGGGACCGCTCGAGCGACAGAGACCCCAACAGCAAGAAGCCGTGGTGCAAATACCATAGGACACACGGTCATCATACCGATGATTACCGCACCCTCCCAGCCCTCTTGAGGAAGGTGTGGGATGATGGTGAGATCACCCTACCAGAACTCCGGAGTTCATGACGATCTGACGATGAGGACAGGCGACCCGATGGCGATCGCGACAGAAGAACCAACGACGATCGTGATAGAAGAGATAACACTGATCGCTCTTCTAAACGCGAGGGAAAGGAAGCAAAGCGTGACCGTGAAGACGATCACACACCTCCAAGCTCACCACGTCGGCGGATCAACATGATCATGGGAGGGCTTCCCTCGTGCACCGACTCGATAAATTCAATTAAACGGTACGAACGGAAAGCAGCCAATCCCCCGAAGGACGCCCCACCGCTGTTCAAGGATGACCTACCGATCACATTCACAGAGCAAGACGCGCAGTTCATAGACCGACCTCATAACGATCCACTCGTCATCTCACTACGACTCGGAGAAGACGACGTCTCCAAAGTGTTGATCGACACTGGAAGTTCGGTCGACCTCATCTTCACGGATACTCTATGCAAGATGAGTATCCCGGAACGGGACATCAAAGTCGCACCGTCACTCCTCACTGGATTCGCTGGAGACTCGATCTCGACGATAGGAATGATAACGATGCCTGTTACCATACGCGGGAAGTCAATTACGGTCAAGTTCGAGGTTATCGACCGACCTGCGATCTACAATGCCATCCTTGGAACACCATGGCTGAATGTCATGCGGACCGTTCCTTCTCCTTACCATCAATGCATCAAGATGCCGATCAGGGGCCGTGTCATCACCATCCGTGGCGACCAGACAGTGTTTCGACATTATTACATCGGCAACAAGCGCGCCCGCAAAGCATCAACGTTTGTGATCGGCAGTAGTAGCGATTTCGATCCACGGATTGTTCACCACGACGAGCAGCCGAAGAGCGATCTTATCGCCCAAGTCAACATCGATGCTGCCCACCCGGAACGTTGCGTCGGTATCGGCACGGAACTGTTGCCTAGCATGCAGGACGAGCTGATCAGTTTCCTCCGAGAGAACGTCGCAACATTTGCGTGGTCCATGGCCGACATGAAAGGCATTAACCCCCGAATAACGAGTCACGAATTGAACGTCGACCCGACTTTCAAGCCGATCAAGCAGAAGCGATGAAAGTTAGGACCTGAGCGAGCACAAGTCGTCCACGATGAAGTAGATAAGCTCCTGAAGGCCGGATCAATCGCCGAAGTGAAGTATCCGGATTGGCTCGCCAACCCGGTGGTCGTCAAAA